TCTTCCGATCTAATCATAACGAGCTTCTAGCTATATAATGAATAACAACATTGTACCTATCTATTATCTACATCTACGAGATGACTCTCACTTTTAGAAAAAATACAAAATAAAAAAAAATGCGATATCACAAACTTATAAAAATTAAAAAAAAAAAGGATAATTATATGCAAAATTCACGCAAATTACTTATTCTATTACAGCCTCAGTTCGTCCATGATATTCTGCAGATTATCTTCAAATTCAGCAGTGGTATCTATCATTCGTTGTTTCGTCGTGTGTTCCTCCGAACACAAGTGTACACGAAGATTGATAATGCCAATTATTTTTTTAAAGCATAGTTTGCAGTAAACAGGTTCAATACTCGTCTCACGCGGGTCCTTGTGTGCAGAAAGTACAAAATATTACTGTTATATCAATAAAGAACAACGTTTATATGTTTTGAATGATCCGAATTTAACAGAATTCATTATTAACGATATAACACTTACTTGTGAGCTAAAACCTCTAATTCTAAGAAGATTATTAAGATCATAGCTTGATTATTTGTTCGAGTTTGTCGTTCTTCTCATTCAATTCTAACGCTTTGTGAAAGCTATAGACGTTATTTTTCCTCGAAGTTTCCCGAGCGGGCACGAGGAACAGAATCTCGTCGTACCGATTCCACTTGTCAAAATCACTGGTCGACACTGGCTCCAGCTTGTTACGGGTTTTATATATCACATCTTTGAACGCATTTTTAATTTTATTTTGACAGTTTAGAGTCGTAATAATTCTCTTCGTCTCCAATTTCAGAACTAGCCTTGAAGTGCATCGCAACATTCATCCAATGGCGTAACTTGTTAATCAGCCAACAGAATTTTTACGATTCACATGTTAATTGCCTTAGATTTCATATAAATAAACGAAAGAAAATTCCGATCAAATACATCTATCGAATGTATATCATAAAAACGTGTAACATGATGTAAAAATTAAAGGTACCATTTTCAAATCGTTTATGTCAATCTCGACGTCAAATATAATTTTCAGATCGTGCTCCGGGAACAAGCTTTTCTCCGTAGTGCGATCGTATCCCAATCCACACAGAGCGCCTGTGTAATAAGTTCCCAGAGGACTACGTCGCAGTTCCATATACGGTGTGAAAATCAAGGTGGTCAGCGATGTGAGGCTGGACGATGTAGCGGGAAAGTGTTGTGTTCCGTAGAATCAAGTGCAATATATTCTTGGAATTTCGAACGATGGTTTGCGCCACCAGAAAAATTCTCTTCGGATTGTCCGGGCAGGTGTCGAGTAGAACGGGGTTCACCAATGTGGAGTCGACAGACACCCTTTTGCCGATTCCCGAGGACAGATGTACCTCCATCGGCGAGTACGGGCCCCACAGCGTCACCTTGGACGGATATTCGTGGTATTCCGGTAAATTCGGATACGGCTTCTTGTATATGGATCATCTGCCTGGCCGTTCCTCCGGATTCGACAACTAAAACAGATGCCTCCCGTAATCTATCGTGAGCCTGAGCTCCTCGGCTAGGCGGTAAGCGCCTATCTGGCTCAACAGATTTATCCTGATCAGGATCCGACACTGCCTCTGTGGTGTTGTCGCTCGGCGCGCGATATTTCGGCTCGTATTCGATGTAGATGCGATTCGATCTGTCGAAGGATACAGTCACGTCGTCGTATTCGTCGACCTTTTTGATCACATGCTGTCCAATGACCTCCTGGATCTTCTTAGAGTACAGCGACTCAGGCTGATTCACTGGCCAGCCTTGCAGGATAACGGTGTTTGTCGGGTCGCGAAAAGCCAGCGTCTTCTCTATATCCTTCATGTGATCGCTCACGTTGTACGGATAAAGTAATTGGAATAAAATGCACCGGCGATTATAAACTTAAGTACGAAGTACGTGTCGATGCAGAGGTCCCAAAGTGATTTTGTCAGGACCCATCGTCTCACTTATGCCGAATACGCGCAGCTTGTGCGTTATCTTGACTATAAAGGCGTCGATCTCGCGTAGCGATCTCACGCGGAGGTTCTTCCGTCGCACCCATTCCTTCTCCTGGTGAGGATTGGTTATACGGCGATTCATCTTTTCATTCCGCCACATCTTGAAGGCGTTCAGGTAGGCTATGCTATCGCTGTCGGACCCGGCGGACAAGTGCAAGCTTCTCGTAATAAGTCGACTGCAATTCGTGCAATCCGATGTTGAACATATCCTTCACGGTCATACAGGCCGCGATGATGATCGTGTCCGGCAGGAGGTCGAAGATATGACCCAGGATAATCAACTTCGTCACGCGCACGTCTAACGGAAGACTGGCCATTACGCGACCCAAATTCTTGTCAAATCCCCGTCAAATTCTTGCGTGCCTCGATTCAACAAAGCACCGACTTCCTTCAGTAACAATATGGTGTTTTGTATATTGCTGAGATTGGGTGGATCCAGAGAAAGGGCGAGGAGGGCTTTTGGCTCGTCCATATCCAGCAGTTTCATTTTGAGAATTGTATTTGCAAGTGGGGCCCTGAGCATCTCCGGAAGAGCTTCATCGTGCAGATAGTTCAGTAATTTTCAGGATAGTATGATTTCCTAGATTTTTTTGCGACATATTAAGATCGAGTAGTTTCGATGTAAAACACCACACTCACCTCGTAAAATGCTCTTGGCACTATTCTGTACACCCTGCCGTCCATCATGCAGCCTGTACGTTGTTGACAATTTGATTTACTTGCCCAGCACAATTGCAGACATTGATAATTGGTTGAAGTCTCCGTAACAAGAAGTTTTGTCATGCAAAAATCAATCACTGAACAGAAAAAGAAGTGAGAATTATAGAGAGTTGAGAAGTAAGATGGTCTTCGACAATAATGATTATATGGACAATGTGTTGTCGGTGTCCGGTGGCACAGTGGTTTGCAAGGAGGATACCGCTCGACTTTACTGAACATACAACTTCGCCTATCGGCCCAAGTGCAATTTATCCATTCTGTCGATGAGAAGCAAAATCGTATTTATGATCGCGAGCAATTCTGTCGTTATCATTTGCGGATCTATGGGCTGTGGGAAGACGACGCAGGTGCCGCAGCTGATTCTTGACGCCGAATTCGACAAGAGGCAGCACTGCAACATCATAGGTACGTCGCTTGCTCGGGTTTGGACTGCATTCTCTAGCACGTCCAGCAGATTATTCACTTTAATTTTATGGATATTTTATCAATGTGATACAGACCTTTTGTATTTTTTTGTTTGTTAATTTTTTGTAATTTTTATTTCTTGTAGTAACAGCCAAGACGCATCGCTGCCATGAGCATCGCAAAACGGGTCAGCAGTGAGAGAGATTGGACCATTAGCACGATTATGGGATATCAAATGGCCCTGGTGAAGAACGTGAGCCTCGACACTCGCATAACGTATTGCACGACCGGCGTGCTCTTGAACAAGCTCACGAGCAAGAAGCACATGATGGATTACACTCATGTTATACTCGATGAGATGCACGAACGCGACGAAGACATGGATTTCCTTCTGCTCGTAGTGAGAAAGCTACTGTGCACCAATTCTATGACAGTCAAAGTTGTATTGATGTCCGCGACAATTGACGTGAACAAATTCGCCGCGTATTTCTCGACGCCGGTGGAAGATCCAGCTTCTGCCCGCGTCGATCATCGACATACCAAAGGGTAGCCCTTACAAAGTTTCTATATTTTACATAGACGAGTTGGAGAGTTTGGGCCCCATAAGTATATATTTTCTTGCACAATTAAAGCACAACTGTACGTTTCAGTATCCAAGATACAAGCATCCTACCTCAGAGATGGAGGGAAAAGAAATTGCATGTTAATAGAATTCTCTATTCTTGAATTGAAGGTTGCTTATTATTTCAAATGTTTCACATTGAATAAAATTTTGCTAATATTTTAATGATGAATTCGATATCAGTGTCATCTTCTCTTACACAACATACGATAAGAATATTGCTAATAATTTATTCTTTTTCTTTTCTTTCTGTTTTATTTTTGCGATTGAGAGAAAAGCAATCGTGGCAAATATAGTCTTTTTTTTTTACAGATACCGGAAGTAGACACAGAACCAAAATTTACGAGCACTATGGCGGAATTTTCCGCACGTATTATACATATTTTTAACGGTGTTGACAATAATAATTAAAACGAAAGGTCCGCCGTGTTGGTATTTTTACCAGGATATTCATGGAAATCGAGGAATTACGTACTCTGTTTCTGTCAGAGAGTATCGCGGACGCAAAATGGGATATAATCTTACACTCGTTGATCTCGACCGAGGATCAGGAGAATATATTTAAGAAGCCGCCCAAGCATTACCGGCGTATCATGTCGACGAACATCGCTAAGAGCACCATTACTGTGCCCGACGTTAAATACGGTATGTTATAATCAATCGGGATCGAACGATACTTTGTCCGTCGGACAATTTTATCTGTGAATCAATAGAACTACAAGTAATATAATTCTCATTTCTTTTTCTGTTCAGTGATTGATTTTTGCATGACAAAACTTCTTGTTACGGAGACTTCAACCAATTATCAATGTCTGCAATTGTGCTGGGCAAGTAAATCAAATTATCAACAACATACAGGCCGCGTGATAGACGGCAGGGTGTACAGAATGGTGCCAAGAGCATTTTACGAGATGAGTATGGTGTTTTACATCAAAACTGCTCGATGTGTCACAAAAAAATCTAGGAAATCATACTATCCTGAAAATTACTGAACTATCTGCACGATGAAGCTCTTCCGGAGATGCTCAGGGCCCCACTTGCAAATACAATTCTCAAAATGAAACTGCTGGATATGGACGAGCCAAAAGCCCTCCTCGCCCTTTCTCTAGATCCACCCAATTTCAGCAATATACTGAACACCATATTGTTACTGAAAGAAGTCGGTGCTTTGTTAAATTGAGGCACGCAAGAATTTGACAGGGATTTGGGTCGCGAGAAAGTGGCAAGAAAGAGCAACAGAATAAGACGAACGCAGACTGTAATGTCATTAAATAATGCGCTTAATAATCACCCTCAAGTAATCTTCCTGGTCCTTTTTTACATATTCCTTTACATAGGCCGTTTCTGCCTCTGTGCTCGGTTTTTTGGTAGTTTCCTCGAACATAGATCTCTTCACAGGTTTCCGAGTAGAAGGAACTGGCAAGACTATAGCCTTAAGTGTTTTGTACATGTTCAGAATACTGTCCAAATTGTTATTCATTATTGCGGTTTATCTGTGATCGAACCTGTTGCAATGGATCATTGAAAATTCATTAAGGCTACAAAACGTTACTTTTAGCAACGTTTACATATGTAAACTATAGCTTTTAGTACAATTTTGCCACAAAAGCCACGTTTTGGAATATAGCTGTAAGTTACAAGTTCACATTTACTGAATTTACTCTATACAAATTTATTGCTACTGTCTGAGATATGTCGATTTAATTATCATTTTAATTCGTGTTATTTTTCATCATAGACGATTCTAGAAACAAATATAGATTAACGCTATTTTTCCTAAATAAGATAAAAGAAAGTTTTGCATTCTTTACAAGGATTCTTTTTGATCTTTTATGCGTTAATAAGATTACAATGATACAATACACGCGGTCATACAATAGACGAGAAATTAAAAGATCACGTTTAATAACTTACTAACCTCACAAAATCACAGGACAAAATACAGAAGTGAATATGACTACAACGAAGTGAATATACAGACAAATCACAAAGTAAATCACAGTCGATAAATAGCAATTTATTCGCGTTTTCCACTCCTCGTTATTCTCCGCAAAGTCATGGACATTCTTCTTCTTCTTCTTCTTTTCTATTGGCACCTGCTCCCAGACGGGGATTCTTCTTCTTCTTCTTCTTTTAATATGGCTACCGCCCCCACGAGGGGCTATACCACAGTATAACCAGTAGGTCCACTCAGCGAAAAACTGAGTCTTCGCGCAGGTATCGCCGCGCAACTTTTGTTTTGGGTTGGATCCAATGAAATGCAAGA